GCTAGGTCAGGTGTGTTGGGTAGAAGAAGCGCTAGATCAGGTGTGTTGGTTAGAAAGCTTGGTAGGGTCAGAAGGGTGGAACTTGGTCATGAATGTTCGGGAAAAATAGCAGCAAAGACAGGTAAAGTTGGGGAAAAAAGGGTGTTAGGTCAGATACGTTGGAAACAACAAAAAATAGGTCAGATATACTAGAAAACAATTAAGGGCAAGGCGAAGTATGTTAGAAAATATATGATATATAACAGGTGTGTGGTGAAAAATAAGAGCTAGGTCAGATATGTTGGGGAAAATATGGGCAAAGATATGTAGGTTGGGGAAAATTGAGGATAGGTCAGGTTCTCTGAGGAAAACAACTTTGGGATTGCACAGGTATGTGGGACAAAAATACCAGCTAGGTCAGATAAGATTGCTAGAACAGGAAGTAGGTCACGTATGCTACGATAAACAGGATGCTATCTTGAGGTTATCTTGAGATGATTTCAGGGCTTTAGTGTCCCCGTGGCCCGGTCCTCGACCAGGCCTCCACCCCCAAGAAGCAGCCCGTGACAGCTGACTAACACCCAGGTACCTATTTTACTGCTCATGCTTGATTATGCTTGCCTTATTTTAGAAACACTTGTTCATAGGGAAGATTTTTCACTAAAGTCCAGTGTTTACAGAAAGCCTACAAATAGTTTATCCTTTGTTCATGATTTTTATGGGCATAGATACAATGTGAAACAATAAATTTTTTCCTCCATGTACCTATGATCTCTTTGGGTTGTTAGTCCAAAATTCTTAGAATTTTGAACTAACTTAGAGTTTAAGAATATTGATTATATTGGTCTCAAGCTTTGTTATCCACTGAGTTTTTTGGAAGTTTTCCGTAGCAAAGCACGTCGTACATATTATAATAATATATGCAGTAAAAAAAATTCTCCCCCAAAAATGTATTATGTTTACCACATTTTTCTGAGTTCACAAAATATTGTCAAGGATTTGAAACGTTTTGATATACATGTATTGTTTAATTACGAAAATTATGTTGGAAAACTATTAGTTAGAAACAGTTGTCTTAGTAATAATTGTGTCATTTATAAAATACCTTGTAAAGATTGTAATAGGTTCTATGTAGGGCAAACATCCAAAGATCTGAAACTTAGAATTTCACAATATACTCTGCAAGAATCGGTCAATTGTCCAATGCTTTGTTTGTTTATTTACCAGAAAGTTATCATCAAACTGATTGTTAGAGGGACTCTCCAATAACAAATTGTAAAAGTATTTTTAATAGGAACACACACAAACATACACACACACACACACACACACACACACACACACACACACACACACACACACACACACACACACACACACATTTATTTATTTATTATTAGGAAATACATGTTGTCAACTTCATGATAAAAAAAATGTCAGATGCTACAGCCACAATTTAATAATCTAAAAGTTGTCATCACTGTAATTAAAGGAGCAACAGATTTGTACCCAAAAAAGATTTGTACCCAAAAACGATTTGTACCCAAAAAAGATTTGTACCCTAATTCATTTGTACCCAAAACCCCAGAAATAATCAAGCAACCAAGTTCAATCACCACAGTTTACATCTGACTGTCAATGAACACCCTCCATCTCAGGACATTATAATGAACTCCCGATGGGCTCAGTCACAGTCACGATCAGACCTGAGATCCGGCCCATCAGGAACCATTACATGATCAAGCTTCTTAGGCCATAACAAATCACATATAATTTACCATCGAGGCATAAATATAGGCGAGAGGGTAGAGGTTTAAGTGTTTGCCAAGAGATTCTATACAATTATATTCATTATATATAGATACGGATATAGATACTTAGTCAGTATTCTACGAAAGGATAGACTGGTTAAAAATGTATCCTTCAAGAGGATGAAACTGCTGGGTCAATAGTCTTTAGGAACAGCTACCCAAAAATTAACACACTGTTAGTAGCTAATGATGCCGTCAAGATAACCAATTTAAAATAGCACAAAAATGGCTCCTTCATGTATGCAAAAAACATCGACCGGGTTCCGTGAATTTAATGCTCGATCAGCAATTCAAGGAAAATTATCATGTAAAAACTGGATCTCGATTTTCTGTTCGTCGGTCTGTAAAATAAGGCTGTTATTTATACGAAGAGAGAGAGAGAGAGAGAGAGAGAGAGAGAGAGAGAGAGAGAGAGAGAGAGAGAGAGAGAGAGAGAGAGAGAGAGAGAGAGAGAGAGAGAATGAGCAAGATAAATAGAGAGAGAGTGCCAGGGAGAGTGCGTGTACGAGTAAAAATTAGCTAGTGTGTGTTGGAGGTGTTGTGTGTGTGTGTGGCTGCAGACAGGGTTCCACCACCACCACATCCACCACTCCACAACCACCACCACACCACCACCACCACCACCACCAGCTGCACCACCACCACCACCACCACCAGCTGCACCACCACCACCACAACCACCATCAGCCATCCTACTCATCCTCGCGTTAAGATAAGAGCCACGTTTTCCTGCCCGGTGACCATTATATCACATTATAATTTTTAAAACGCAAGTTTTCTCCGTAGTATTTTTTGCGACATGGACGAGACTAATATTTATGTCAGTTTAGACTTAATAAAAATATTCGTTTATCACTTCTTTGATTTAATAAGAAAATATATAATTTTTCTTGACGTGTTTATTGGATTTTAATATATTATGATAAGGACACGCATCTGGCTTCAGATTCATCTGCAGGATTTTGACAAAGCACCCAACCCTTCTACTGGATAATACCTTAGAACATATCCTTCTACAGGATGGTAATCTCCCACTTCAGCATTCTGCAGAATACTGTCGCAATCAATATCCTACTTCAGGAGATTGATAGGAGCACCTTATCCTTCTGCAGGATCATGATATTGCATCCTATATAATATTTGTTTTCATCCATAATTAACTAAGGCTTGATATTTGTACACCAAGCACTGCATTTTAAGCTTGTGATAGCTTATCTTGCATCTAGAATCTAATTGATACTCCAGCATGAGAAAATATCTAAATTAGATTTCTAGAAACCATCCTTTTCCCTACATAACAACCTTATTTAAGTATGAGACACAACTCCTTAATAGTTTAACCCACACTCAGGCACCTCCAGAACCAGCACGTGGCTATTCAGAAAAGCTATACAGTGTCATACAGGCACAAGATCAATAACTTCCCATGTGGTTGGTGGATCAGCTTCGCCCCTGACTTACCTTCCCTGCCTTCCGTCCAACGAGACAGAGACAGGTGGCTCTCGTGATGGCCCCTCCTGGTTTTTGTATTAATGAATGATGAGCCAATCTCCTCCCTGTGTCAAGGGGTGGACGACCAAGCGTGATAAGGGACGAGGAACGAGTTAATTTTTCCTTGCTACTGTCATAGGGACGGGGGTTAGGAAAAAAAATACTCTTATTGACAATTAAGCCCTAAAAACAAAAACAAAACAGCTACATAAATACCATGGTTGATAATGTCGAGTTTGGTTGCTAAACTGCTAGAGAATCTTCTTTTTTTTTTTACAGAGAGTTCGTACTACTTTAGAACGAAGAGATGGTAAGCGATTTACGAATCAAACTTTCTTAATCTGAGCCATGACAATGGGTTAAGTTCTGTAGGTTCAACACATTGGAAGAAATCCTGATGTAAAGTTGGCGAGAAGTTCACGATCGGACAAACCCGGAACGCACACACACACACACACACACACACACACACACACACACACACACACACACACACACACACAAGAGTCAAAGAGGGATCCAAGAGTCAATGCTCGATCCTGTAGACACAACTAGGCGAGTACACACACACACACACACACACACACACACATGCTGTGAGGGGTCTCACGGCTGAGTGGACAACGCTCGGGATTAATAGTCCTAAGGGTCCGGATTCAATCCCCGGAGGAGGCGGAAACAAATGTGCAGAGTTTCTTTCACCCTAACGCGCCTGTTCACGTAGCAGTAAATAGGTACCTGAGAGTAAGACAGCTGCTACGGGCTGCTCCTGGGGATGTGTGTGTATGGGGGAAAAAATGCGTTGATTGACAGTTGAGAGGCGGGCCCAAAGAGCCAGAGCTCAACCCCAGGAAGCACAACTAAGTGAGCATACACAATTATTAACATTAATAATAATAGTAACTAATATTAATAATAACTAATTTCCATATTAAATTAACATCAAATGGTGTATATCTTTTTTTGAACACTTTATATCACATTTATGTACATTTATTTCACATAAATTAAATGTTTTGACCGTGTACCCTCACCAACGAAGACCTTTCCCTCCCTCACCTCACTTCACACGCCCAGTGATCACCACCAAACCTTTTTACAGATCTCGGTAAAATATATGAGGCACCTTCCGGGGCTGTGTGGACCAATACTTTCTCTCTTCACCTTTCTCACCATTCATCCATGGTCACCGAAGAACTGTACCACACGCACACACACAATATTATATATATATATATATATATATATATATATATATATATATATATATATATATATATATATATATATATATATATATATATGTGTGTGTGTGTGTGCATGTGTGTGTGTGCATGTGTGTGCATGTGTGTGTGTGTGTGTGTGTGTGTCTTGAAATGTCAGTGTCTGTCCTATCTATTTGAGGCTGAAGGCCAGACTCTTAAGGCTAGTGTCTCCTAGTTTTTCACAGTAATTGCTGCTGAGTGAATGCACATCATGGGCGGGTCGGACTGTCAAAAAAAAAAATAGAGTGACACTGCGAAACATATCTCAATACTAAATCTTAGAAACACCATTTAAGAGAGACACAAAGAATAACAGAGAGAAAGAGAGAAAGAGAGAGAGAGAGAGACAGAGAGAGAGAAATATCCATGAAAATGATTTAATACCTTACTCCATTATCACATCTCTGTTTAACATGTGTATACGTATGAAATGGGATATTATGTCTCCTTACAGTGTTGGTGGTGCTGAGTGACGAACAGGAATACCGCCTCACCCGCTACCTCATGGCCAACTACGATGCCTCGGTGCGACCAGCGAGGAACTCCTCCGAGGCACTATCCGTCATCTTCGGCCTCTCCCTTCACAGCATAATTGACGTGGTTAGTATTGAGTTGTCGTGTCCGGTACTCGGTCGAGAGTGGGGTCTGTACTCAGCTTAAGAGCCTGTACCCAACTAAGAAAGGTCTGTATCCAGCTGAGAGTGGTTAGTAGCCGTCTGGGATTGGTTATTGCTTAGGAAGAAGTGGTTATTTTAGGAAGAAGTGTTTAGAACTCAGCTAGGAAAGTTTATTGCCCAAAAAATAGGTGCCAGTACCCAGCCAATAGTGACCAGTACCCAGCCAGTAGTTGCCAGTACCCAGGAAAGGATGGATTAGTACCCATCATGGGAGTGTTCATTACCTAACATGAATAAATTAGCACCCAGGAGAAAGCTATAAAACCAAAACCCTTAATAAAGGAACTATCTTGGGAACATACAGCAGAAGTCTTGATGAATAGTGGACTATATTATTAAATATGGTATAGTTTTCATGACTTTTTAATGTATTACATTTACGAAATAGTCTAGAACCCCTTTTTTGTTATAAATATGCAAAATTATAATTATATATTTATATTTTTTGTGTTTAGATTAGTAATATCATAAGTAATAATAAAACAATCGAGAAATAAGGCCGAAAACTAGTCAAATACACAGAAAGTGCACTTAATTTATACTTATAATGATTTCAGCCGAATTCTAATGGTTTAATTTGTTTTCTGCCCCGAATAAACTGTATCATTACGTGTAAGATCCAAGTTCAAGTTTCAAGAATGTGAAGTTTATCTATGAGTATATCAATCTTAACTAGGTTACCATACTGGAACTTCACAACAAACCGACGAATATTCGGCTTACAGTTTGAGTTAGAATTGATGACTCAGGGACTCAGGGAAGGAGAACCAGGGCGAAGGAATATCAAAGCTTTCTGGCCTGCTCGAATCTGTCCACACATTCCGGTACATTTAACGCCCAATATTACGAATGTTAGGGGTTTAACTCATGAATAGAGTTTGAGGTTTCAATAGCGAACTTCTTGAGGAAGAGTGTGTTGTATAGAACTTTTAATAATGTTCAAATTACTCTTTCATGTATTATTTTTAAAAGATCGAAACCATGAAAAACATACTCACACACACACACACACAGCTACCAGGGGGGTCTAGTAGCTGAGTGGATAGCGCGCAGGACTTGTAATTATGTGGCCCAGGTTCAATTCCCAGATCAGGCAGAAACAAATGGGCAAAGTTTCTTTCACCCTGAATGCCCCTGTTACCTAGCAGTAAATAGGAACCTGGGAGTTAGACAACTGTTACAGAGCTACTTCCTTGGGGTGTGTATGTGTGTGTGAGTGAAAAAAGCAGTTAGTAGTTAGTAACAGTTGACTGACAGTTGAGAGGCGGACCGAAAGAGCAAAGCTCAACCCCCCGCAAGCAAAACTAGATGAATATAACTAAGTGAATACACACAAACAGCTTATTAAGAAACACATATCAAGCTCCCGAAAAACAACAACATCTTTAATAACACCCTACACCACTATGGAGATCCTACGAAAGACGAAATATATATCATGTTTGTCTGCTGGTAATGAAGAAGACACGTCCAGTAACGCTGAGAGACGGAAGATAAAAGGACACAAAGAGAAGGGATTTGTAAAGGTCACTGGGAGAGAGCTCACTGAGAGATTGAAAGTTAATGATCACTGAGAGAGAGAAGATGAGGGATGGGGGAGGCACTGAGAGAGGTAAGGTAAACTGTGGGTGTGATATTATAGGTGGGGAAAGTGACCTTGAGTTAGGGAAGAGAAAATGACCTTGAATTAAGGAAGAGAAAGTGATTCTACAAAAATTAAGGTAAATGTTCACCCAGTTTGTGGGTTTAAGGGAAGCTCAGATTTCTTCTTCACTAATATAAAATCTCTGGAGCCTGGAAAACACCGAGGTATAATACTGCTTGGAAGATTAATGCTTCAGGTTTCGATATAGATAACTACAGAGTAGTTTTCATAATGGTGGCTACACGAACCACAACGCTAAAGACAACCTTGTAGTCCTTACAAGCTATGCAAACAACAACAACCTAGTTGTTGTAAACTACAACAACTAGAGAGCACAAACAAAGCATATGAAGTTTAATAAAAGATTAGAATGCTTTTTAATTAGATTTCAAGGCTTGTTGGCACGCCTGCAGAGTAGTACACAGAAGGGAATCAACAAGATAACTTAATTGAAAACTTAATCTAGTATACTAGAATAAGTCTTTAGTTCTGTGGAATAAAGAGTACAAACAGGCTGGTTGGGAAGAATGCGCCATCAAGTTAACGCCTAGAAGTGGGTTATTTAACGTGACAACTTAATTAATTATAAACAAGGGTTTAGAGTTTTGTAGTAAGCCATTTGTGAGAGACCTCTCGTCTAACAATCCAGAGAATACATTGTATGTGCTATGGGGCTATTGTTGAACTTATGGATCTTTACGTCTGTGCAGTGAAAGAACACATCATATTTTCCAGCTCATAGCTCACCTTCATTGAAAGGGAATTTGAGTAAAGAAGTAACTTGAATAGCTTGAGTAAAGAAGTAACTTGAATAGCGTCATTAGTGAGATGGTTCCCCTATCATAAATGCTCTCATAATCTTTCCCCTTTTCTCACTGACACAGGTTGCAATTGCTTGTCCTTAATATTAGACGGTCAAATTATTATTAATATGTTTTAACTGTTCTCTATGGGATTATCTGATTTTTAGTAAATTGATCATTGAGAAAATCAATTGTAACTATGAGGGGATTCGAACCCCTCGATCTGGGATACTCCACAACCACTGGATCACGACATGGTATACGTTAAGTAATTATCCAAGCTCACATACATCACTGGCTTTTGCTAGTCTCAGAGATTTAAAGCCTGGTTTTGTATTTCCTCTCAGAACCTGCAAAGTTTTGCGTATGATCACGTACTTTCAAAAAGGAAAACGGTCGAATAACTTGTCTTTACCATTTTGTTGACTTATTGTATGGTAAACATCGGTCTGTAATTTGTTTCCTATACTTCGATGCCTCCTGTGGGTAGAAAAGATATTTTCGCAGTTTTTAAGAGAGTGTGAACTCTCTCTCACTCTATATGACCTTCTGAAGATGTATTTAATATACGAAAGTACTTAAGGAAATTTCCTGTTTCATTTTTCCTCCGTGGTCTGACATTGTCATATATATATATATATATATATATATATATATATATATATATATATATATATATATATATATATATATATATATATATATATATAATATGAACGTTATCTAAAGTGTACTCCTGTGTCATAAATATTTGACATTTCATCATAAATTTGGAGGTCAAAGAATGAGGCCCTTAGACCGAGAACATGACTAAGATTATAGTTTATTTGTCAAAGAGTGTAAGATATGTGGTAATATAGAAATTCTGCAAGGATCTTCCTCATGCAGTGTCCATCCGATTGCAAATGTTTGTGCAATTCTTTAGGAATGGTGTATTTTTAGGATAGGTGTATAGACCTTGTCTTGCAAGCAGCAGGCCAATGCAGGAAAAAGAATATCAACTTTGATTATGCATAAGTTTACAAGGTTTTGTTAGAGTTTTTGTCTTTAATTTCTTTGTCGAGACTTCCGAAGTCGCGTGTTTATTTGAATAGCTCGATTTTGGGCTAAGTAGGGTTGCTTACTTTTTTTATTTCCTTGCTTATATATATTTTTCCAGTAGATATATTATGCAACTTCCGTTCGCTTCTGTATTCAACTTGTGCAAAGTTTGCTTTTTGGTTAGAATGCAGAGGTCAGTCTCACTATTGTTAAAGTTAAATTTAATAGACGTTCAGTCAAGCTGGATATTTACATGGGATATATTATGCGATTTTAACTTTTAGTTAATGCATCGAGAACATAATTTGAATGTCATATATTTGAGAACATATCAAGAGTAAAGCTATACAAAAATATTGGTGGAATGTAAACTTGTATTATATGCATAAAAATATTAACTTTATTGTATGTAAAAAAAAAATATTATCATACATAAAATAAATGTTGATGGAGATATTACAGGAATAAAATAACAACAGGTACTATATTAATAATAACCAAAGAAACAGTGCTAGTAAAAGTAATAATAAATTGTAGAACTAAACAAAATTTTATTACAATTATTTTTTATGTTTAATAATAAGAACGAGACAATAATTTAAGTCATTATACATTAAGATGAATTCAGTGTTTGCCTTCAGTTTCTTAGTTCAAGATAAGTTATATAGAAACATCGTTGTGAGTTATTTACATCCTTATGAGACCATAAAGACATATCCGGTGTGTGTTTCTAGTCCTATTTCCATCCTGATAATTTTTTTTTCACATCCGCAATGTTTATATCCCAAATTGAATACATTTATGTTAAACCATTGATCAAAATGGTCACTTTCTATCAATGAACTAAAGCTTATTTGTTTCCTAATTCCTGATTGTTTCCTAATTCTATGCTAGTTTGAGGAAATATTTACTGAAACACTGCGTATTGATGTAAATTCGAATTAACAATGCTTCGCCTTCCTGGCTGATTCTTATAAAATAGATTTAAGGAGAGGAGTAACAAAAGCCTGAAAAAATCTTGAAACTTTTCCTGGAGATAATATGAAATGAAAAAAGCTTTCAATTCCTGAGTATAACTTATAATGCAACATCTGGTAATGTCTTCAGTTAGCTGATAGTAGAGAGCGATAAAAGGATAATTTATTGTTAATTGCTGATCATTACTGCTCACTTAAATTTTATGTCTTCAATAAAAATTAACGTAAATAATAATTAGGTTGTAATTAGGACACTTTACATATGAAATATTTAACAGTGTGCAATGTAATTATCTCGAGAAAACGCTCTGCCAGTATGACTACTGTATACAGCAAAGTGTAATAATAAACGCAATAAATATGTAATGAATGTAATAAATATGTAATACAAGCAATAAATATGTCTTTCTGTGTGTCCGATGTTTGAGCCAAAGAGAGAGAGAGAGAGAGAGAGAGAGAGAGAGAGAGAGAGAGAGAGAGAGAGAGAGAGAGAGAGAGAGAGAGAGAGAGAGAGAAAAAAAAAAAAGAGATAGAGAGAGAGAGAGAGAGAAGAGATAGAGAGATACAAGGTTCAGCTGGAAGAAGAGTTCACCAAAAGTCATGTTCGTACATGACTGCATAAATTATTGTACATTATGACATAATGTATATAACGACACAATGCATACATTAATGGCCATCTTAAACCCAGCTTAACACCTATGATACATCAAACTTCCTAGAATGTGTCCGGGTTTTAACACGTGCCCACGAAGTACCAGGAAACTACCAGCTTGACATCTACACCCTAACAACAGCCTATAACTACCCATCAGTTCATGACTAAAACACCTCACCCCTATGCACATTAAAAAGGTCCATTGTCCCCCACAGGATGAGAAGAACCAGATCCTGACTACTAACTGCTGGCTGACGCAGATTTGGCATGATGCTCATCTCACCTGGAACGCTTCCGACTTCGGAGGCATCCAGGTCATCAGAGTTCCTTTCCAGAGGGTCTGGAAACCGGATATTATACTTTATAACAAGTAAGAAGAGTGAGCTTTGATTTTGGTAGATATGTATCGCTACGGGGAGAGAGAGAGAGAGAGAGAGAGAGAGAGAGAGAGAGAGAGAGAGAGAGAGAGAGAGAGAGAGAGAGAGAGAGAGAGAGAGAGAATGTTATTAACAGTGGAGAGTGAGAGAGGTTGGGCTTTACAGTGAGAGAGGACGTAATAGAAACACTTATAATAATGAATTATATTTTTATCATTTCCTTAAGTGTGAAGAGGGCCAGCTGTCGCAGCTGTAGTGTGTTTGTGTACTCATCCAGGTTAGGTTGTGGGATCAAAAACTCAGCTCTTCAGCTCAAATCATGGCATTTGGTGCCCTATTCATGACACTCTGTCTTTCTGACATTTAGTTCATATCTCAAATTGAGCCTTTGGTTATATTCTTTAAACTTCTCATAAGTTAATGGGTTTACATTTCACAATAGTAGTTACAATTTGTCGCCGTGAGTCAAAGCGAATTCCTTTTAGTGGGAAATTCATCCCCCAAAATCCATGATTTTTAAAATCCTCCTGAAATTAAAGTCATTGTGAATTTTGTACTATATTATCAGTTTATCAGACGCTTCAGGAATGTTACTACAGTCAATAATACACTTAAGTCCCATGTGTAGGTGTAGTATTCATGTTCACTTCTAGGTATATCTCAACGATTATTTATATTTTCCTAAAACCTCGCATTAAGACAAGTCATATTATTTTGTACATGTAAGTAGAGAGGGCTGTATTGCATAAGACTACAAATACATGGATCTTACTTTTAATTTTCAGTCATAGCTCTGAGGGGAATGCATGTATAAGTCTACGGGTATCGATCCTCACGTTTCACTATCTCAGCATGCAAGTCGTGCAGATATTCACGCAATATCTGACTATCGTTTTTGCCGCCATTGTTAAACTACATAGTTGTAGGAAGCGAGTTTAATTTAAGGTTGACTCCTGTTTGTCATGAATTAATAATGGATTCTTTTTAAAAACGTTGAGTGTAAATCAAAGAAATTAATAGCAAACTTTAAAAACAATTGAATTTGTCGATTGTTACGTTACTTTTGTTATAAGCTTTTACTTAGATATAAAATTATTTTAGCATTATCAAATGTTTAGTTATTATCTCATCTCACACGACTATATATTTACTTGAATTTACCGAAGGGGTGACAATCTCTAGTGGTCTCGACTGTTACTGACAATTCAGCAGGAATTTCCAGTAGGAATTTTTTCTGCTGGATTTTAAGCTGTAGCAATGTTTTGGATTTACAGCTTCGGCAGAAAGAATTCCAAAGTATTATTACCATCTGAGTGAAATACAGATAGTAATAATGAAATACATGAGGTATCTTATGCAATTTGTCGCAAAATAATTATTGATATCATAATTCACCTTATAAATTGGATAATTCCATCTGGAAATCAAATCTACAATAATATCAGTATAAACAAAAATTTCAGTGGAGAGTGTTAGATATTAATAATTATCATATCAGCAAAGCTGTTACAATTTTAAATAGACGATTACCACAATGTATCGGATAAGGCCGCAGCCAATCACTTCATATTAGACAATATTAGATATCATATTAGGTATCAGTGCATATTAGATATCCCAATATTCAAATTAATACTGAATCGTATTGTCTCTTTCACATTTAAACAGATGATTCCAATTGTATGTAAGAATACAATCGTGGGAAATGTACAAATATAAAATATTGTTGCACAATTCAGATAAGATTAAGACAGATCACGTAATTAGCTGTTCAAACTACGTAATGTATATCAACTTCTCGAAGATTATAAATGCAACTTAATAGCCTATTGAACAAGCAGGCAAGTGTATTTTGGGCTTGGATATAGTCCAGGACTAAAGGTAACTCTCAGTTTATATACACCGAGAAACAGGTTTCACCTCTTAGGGAATATATCCCTTGTTATGTCCATATTTCACAATTGAACCCGATATATGGGGTATACGAGGTCCTCGATAATGATATATTTCAGATTTATAAAGCCATTCCTCGTGTAGAGAACCTCTTACTACTGATATCATCAGTTGCACATATGTAGTTATCGAGACACATGTTTGGTGTGATGTCACTCCAACAGGTGTTTTCCCAGGACTGAGTTTCGTTATTTTGCACTTCCTTGAGTTAACATCTATTAATCACTTCTTGGAACATTCAATAAATTTTTAAGTACAATTTGCAATTCATTTCAATCTAACACCATATTTATGACAACATAAATTGTGGGTTAATGACAATTTTTTTAGGTAAGAAAACTCATTTTTTAAATCATTTACATATGTTAGGCATAAGATATGTCCTCACTTTAACCACTGTCAAATCTCACTGGTATAATCTCGTTTTGTTTAATTTCTCCTCTCACGACTATTCTGTATCTTTTGATACTAAAATTTGTTATTTTCCCTTAGCCTCTGCAGAAAATTTTCAGTAAATTTCTGCTTGTTTCCCAACTTAAACTCAAGTTTCAAGTGATATAATGCTCAAGAAGCTTTCTGACAGTCCAAAAAAATGGCAGCCATCCTACCCTACTCGGTCTTGCCTGATCTTGGTCGTCAAGCTATAAAGGCTTCGAAGTTTTGAGAGATTATGTCGTTCAGGAACTGATGCTAAGGGTTACTTCATACATCCTCTGGTCTTCAGATCTTCTAATAGCTCCTACGGTTTTCTTCAGCACCTTCTGGCTGTCTCTTGTTTTGTAAATTAACACAACATTGCATAGATTTCAACGATTTTGCTGTTATTTTTCTAGTGAATTATTATATGTCAAGGAAAGCTTCCAGCGGAAGTCTTCAGATTCTTCTCTTAGTTTCACACAGTGAGGTCTTGTCTCGACTCACGTGTGAGTGTTTGAACACGTCTGTTACTACGTTCAGAGTTGAACGTCAGCTCATAAACACATAAACACAGCTCTTTACACCTGTTGATTGACGGTTGAGAGGCGGGACCAAAGAGCCAGAGCTCAACCCCCGCAAACACAACTAGGTGAGAACTAGGTGAGTACAGGCTTTCGACCATTTTCAATCCAAAACAATTACTCTACTCATTCATTTTATCTTATATTTACATATAGTTTAACACGTAAATTACGTTCCATTGATATATAACTTGCGGTGAAGAATTTTTTCAGAGATCTGTGCCATTAATTCATGTGTGTTTTGGTGTATGTGTATACTCATATTGTTGTACTCACCTTGTCGTGTTTACGTAGGGTAGAGCTTCAGCTCTTTGCCCACATCTCTTAACCTTCAATCGATTTGGTGTATACCTTTCCAAGCCCTCTAACATTGTTGATTATATTAGAAGAAAGTTTTCACCTGTCTTCTCCTACGCGTGAACCAGCAATGCCAAATATTTGGTAATTGTCTGCCCTGTCAATTTACAGATATTTTTAATGTGGTGATCACGTCTTTCTTGAGACTTCACTCATCCTGTGATGGGAGGTTTAATTCCTTGACTCTTTCTGTGCTACTCATACCTCTCATCTCTGGTACTATTGTGCTGGAAAAACTTTGAGCTTTATACAGATTAATTCTGCATTTAAACGGAATATAAGCGGTGGTGTGGCATCTGATATAATTGGTCTGATGTGCGTGATATGCAAGACTCGAAAAAGAGTCTGATTACTAGTCAGAAACTGAAAATGACAAACAATAATTTTCAATTAAAATAAACTCTAACATTATTTCTCTTTTTCCGAAACATGTATTTGAAACTTTTTCTATTATGTTTATTTCGGATCTCCGATTTATTTTTTAAATATCGATACCAACGAACGCCATCGCTAAATTCATTATCAAGAAATTCTTATATTTCGACAATAATGCAAAATACGATTTCGCAGTACCCTTTTAATGTTTTAATTTAGTGTCTGAAATTAGTTGAAACATATTATCAAAGGCTAGGAATGCAACAGCTCACTGACTGCAATCATTCCTCATCGAGTTTTGTTCAACGACATTGATGGCATTCTTCTCCTGTAAGCGCAGGTAATCAAAAATGCAATTGCCAACAAATTAATTAAGTAATCTCTGACGGACCCAAAAATCATCGTTTCATTAGAATTTTTTTCGCTAAAATCTAATGCCGTTTACTGAAGCATAATTCCTCTTAATTAGCATACTGCCTCTTATATTGATATACTTCTAACTGCATAATACTGTCTCAAATGTGTAGCAATCTGCATTTACCTGAAGCACACTGCATTTAACTGTAGCCACCAGCCACTTAACCACTGCTAACTGACGAATACTGACTCTAATTGTAGCATAATGCCTTTAATTGTTGCATATTGTATCCAACTGTTGTCCAATACAGCTTTCGAGCTATCTTGATATAAAGTGCCTTTCAATGCTGCTCCCTGTAGACAGCATAATGCATTTCACTGTGGCATAATGCCCCAGTTCTCTAAATGTCTCCTCCCAGCACTCTATATATATCTTCCCAGTATCCAGCATATCTCCTCGCAGTACCCTACATTTCTCTCCATTTCCCCTTTAGTGCAGACTCCCAGTACTCTGCGGCCACTATCAACACCAATGTCATTGTGACCTCGGGCGGAGAGGTGACCTGGCTCTCCCACGGGATCTATCGCTCGTCTTGCGACATGAACGTCGAATACTTCCCCTTTGACATTCAGTCCTGCAAGATGATGTGGGCTTCTTGGACTTACGACGGGTATCAGGTTAGTCATATGCTCTTGATCTGGTTCATTGGGAGCGTCTTGGAGGGTCATAGAATATTTGAGATGTTCCCGTGTGTGATTGTGTGGGTGTGGGTATGTGGGTGTGTGTGTGTGTGGGTGTGTATTGGTCAGTGGGATGAGAAAGTGTCAGGACGGATTCTTCAAGATAATCTGGGTAATCTGGGTTTCCCAACACCTGCAGTTACTAGAAGAATTTTGGCAACAGTTGTTTTGGGTAATATCGTAGCAACTAGATGGGAACAAGAGCAATTTGGACGATGAGTTTTGGATAGAGAGAACTAGTTGAAATATTGGACGGAAAGGTTGTATGATAATACAAAGGATGATGAAGTCAGTACAGCATTAATTATTCGAAGAATTAATTAATATGGAGAGAGGAACCCGGTGATCTAGCATGTTCCCATTTGAATAATAAGCCATAATTAAACATTTAAGAACCACGGGCTCCAATTATGGTTCCTACTTAGAGAACCACCACAAACACGGTTGAAATTACTGGAAAGTCATGTATGAAATAAAACTTCCTTTGCCTGTCAGCATGACAAAATAATGACACGATTTAACCTATTTCTTAAACCTATTAAACCTCCTGCTGAATCTAACCCCCAAAATGCGTGTCCCTCTTCAGCTTGACCTGAACAAGCAGATGGACGAGGGAGACATGTCTAACTACAAGTCCAACGGAGAGTTCGACCTGGTAGAGTTCACGGCGGCCAAGAACACTACTTTCTACTCCTGCTGTCCGGAGCCTTACCCTGATATTACCTACACTATAAAACTCAGGCGTCGACCCATGTTTTATGTCTTCAACCTCATCCTGCCCTGCGTCCTCATCAACGGCATTGGTAAGTCGTGCTATGTCCCACCCGAGGTATACAGCAACGGTAAGTATTGATCTGTTGTGTCCTGCTCTGCGATTACATCAAGAGCAACGGTAAGTTGTGTGGCATCCTTCCCCTTGGTTCTCCTTAACGGCAACGGTAAATCCTGCTGCGTCCTACCCTGCGTCATTTATAATGGTATTAGTAAGTTTTTTTGCGTCCTGCCATGCGTTCTCATAAAGGCATTGGTAATTCTTGCTGTATCCTGCCCTAAGGGCTTATTTACAAGTTCCGTTAAGTCACCTTCATCCTGCCTGCGTTCTCATCAGATTTCATCAACATCTTCAGTAAGTTCTGATGAGTATTGACTTGTGTCTAGAATGCTCTTCTTCCATCGTTCATATCTTTAATAACTCTTTCCCGTACGGTATTCTCGCTATCAGAATGTCCTGCCTCTCTCTTATAATGTGCATTTAATGAGTTCCTTGTTTCAATGAAGAAAAAAATCACAAGATAACTCTCACAGTTAAATTAATAGTATTTGATAATTTGACTTTTACATTTGTTTCAGTTTGCCTGAAAGTCGACAATGGCAACCTGTTCGTGAGCTGCTCGCGATTTATAATACGTGTATCATGTGTCCACTATTTTCAGTGTGTCAATTAAGTGTCGTCTATCTAATAGTCATGAGTGATTTTCAGAAAATTTAACATTATAAGGCATTTCTTATTTTTAATTTGACATACAATTGAGTTTGGATGTTCTGGGTGTGTAGAATCAGAATATCTTGGATGACAATCTCATTTTTTGTTTTTTACTCTTCAAAATGTCAAAAATTAGGAACAGACGACTTGCTCTCCATTACAGAGATCCATCATATCCACAGAGCAGGGAGAAACCAACTTGCTCTGCACTCATAGAGTCCTTTTACAACAACAGAGCAGGGAGAATTCCACTTGCTCTGCACTCCTAGAGTCCACTCACAACCACAGAGCAGGGAGAAGCCCACATGCTCTGTGTTCCGCCCTGAAGTGACTCAATTATTCTCCTTCCTCCCCCTACCGGACTTAGTGTGAGCAAGGGGCGTTTGTTGACTCTGCTCTTCACTGACTTTACCTTATCTGTTCCCTAATGCAAAGTTTATTTACATAACCGTAAACAAACTTTTCCGTTGGCTGTCGAATGTCTACGCACTTATGTTGCAGCATGTTGGTGCATCAGCATCATAAATGTTGTCTTAAATTTGGATCACAAATAATACGTAGAGAGGGATTAGGGAGACACATTCATGATTATAAGTTTTAAAAAGGATACTTATATAAGGTTTCAAGTAACCAGATTGCTTTTGTGTAAGATAATTAGAAAATTGATTTTTTTTTTTAAAAAAGGTGCTTCAAGCATCATTCACACGAAAGGTTTTAAATTACGTTCTGAATCACCAAATTCTACGAATTTTTGTCTGTCGAGTGACAGACATAGAGCCAATTATTAGGTAACCAGCCCTGGTATAACCTCCTGTCTCTGCGTCACCAACACATACAATCTTCCCTCCCTCTCTCCCTCAGCGCTGCTGGTGTTCTACGTCCCCAGTGAGTCAGGGGAGAAGGTGACTCTGGGTATCTCTGCGCTTCTCTCCATGACAGTCTTTCTCATGACCATCCGGGAGTCGCTGCCCCCTACAGAGAAGACACCTCTTATAAGTAAGTTGTGCTTATAACGGATTCCCTTCTCCTGTACCAAAGTCCTGATCCCTGGTTAAGTTGTGCTTAGAACTGATTCCCTTCCTATGTACCCGAGTCCTGTTCCATAGTTATGTTTTGAATTGCTTACCCACACATCATAATACCAGGTGATGTGCTGGATAGCCAGATATTAAATTACTGGGAAAATATTAACACTAAAGTTTTTTTCTGCGATTTTTCGTGTTTTAACATTGATGATTTAACGTGCGGTCGGAATATGATAAACGGTCAAACTGAATTTGTGAGAATTTTTATGTATTTCAATTGTGTTGTGCAATATAGTCGTAATGGCTTGGCGAAGAAGAGTCAAAGTTCAAAGAGTATGTATGGGTCAAAGAGTTCTTAGTGATATATGGCTTGCGCGTTCATGCAGTTTTCTCACACACACACACACACACACACACACACACACACACACACACACACACACACACACATTATATATATATATATATATATATATATATATATATATATATATATATATATATATATATATATCTTATATACACATCCTTCTGAAGATGAATTACTAAATACTAAAGTACTTAAGGAAATTGGTGACATAATCCTCCTTTCGTGGTCTGGCATCGTCACATTGTTCATCACGTGTTAATGTCTTCGTAATTTACACACATATATATATATGTTTATATAAGATAAGAAACGCTGATAAATTAAATGCAAGCTAACCACATTGGAAAATGGAAAGTAACGCCTTAGTGCTTTCCAATCTTCTCGCGTCCTTAATCAAAGGAAAAGGACATTTTCCTTTGATAAACGACCCGAGAGGTTAAGAAATCGTCAACGATTTTTTTCTTCATTTTCAAATGTGGTTATCTTTCATATATTTAATGTTACTGAATATGACAGAAAAGGTGATATCAATGATCTTAGTTCGAATCTTCTCTATTTTCTCTATATTTTTTCTTTTCATGAGATGAAAAGAGTTGAAAAAGTCAACTCTATAAAGGTTATTTTAAAGTGTTTTGTTAGGAGATTCATTTCGCTGCCCCTGTTAACATTTTCAAAGACAGTGTACAATTAGCCATTGATCTCCTCCACCGTCACCAGGCATGTATCATGAGTTAACCGTGATCTCTCCTTGCCTCACCAGGCATGTATTACGGGGTTACCATCTGCCTGGTGAGCTTCGCTTCGGGCATGTCAGTGGTGACCCTGAATATCCACCACCGAGGAGTGAGAGGGACAGAGGTGCCTCGCCTGGTGAAGATGGTGGTGTTAGGATGGCTATCCAAGCTAGTCTTCCTCCACTTCGAGCCTTCAGAGGGACCAATAGATGACAAAAACATTCATCTCAACGTAAGTGAACATAAACTTCATGCTTTCCGCATCTTTGAATTGTAAATAAATACAATTTTATATTCCTCTTGAATGTTCTTCAATAAAAGTGGTTTTTATTATGTTGTTTCTCTACATATTTAAAAGATTTTTAACGTGCAAGCACAACATAGAACAATGAAGACATAGATGCAACTTAGATTCGTTGAGTTATACAGAAAGACCAATTGGCTTTCTGCTGTGTCGTTTTGTTTCTGTGTATTTTACGTTCCTATATTCTTATGTTCTTCACAAATATTCTCTTGCAAAATTATCTTCTTAAATTATTATCTATAAAATAAATAAAAAAAAATACAGTATGACGAAACACAAGAGTAGATATTCAATAATACTTTAACGCATATTAATATTGCTTTGTGATCAATACCTGCGAGAAAACACTTTTGATCAGCACCTGCTAGAGAATACTTTTGATCAATACTTGCAAGAAGATACTTTGATCACTGCCTGCAATTTAATTATTTCGATCAATATTTTCAAAAGAATGACTTTGATCAATACCTGCAAACCATATTTTGAAAACTCATATATCAGTTCAGTTTTTCATAGCTTGTTATTTTTTCAACGACAATCGTGATTAACAATCATTATAGTTCATCAAACACGCATACTGAAATAAAAACAATTATTTTATTTCACCGGGAAAACTATATCATATTTACATTCAAGCAGATATATCAAACAATAGAGAAAATTAATTGTTTTACAAAAATAATTTTTAATGGTAACGAATTCCTGTACTCAGTGATTTAAAGATAAATCCGAATTGTTATATGATAAAAGATATTAGATAATATTTACGATGTTATACAAATGCAATATAGAGTAGAGTACTCTATAGAGTAGAGTAGAGTAGAGTAGAGTAAGTGGTTTCACAGATTCAAGATTCCTGTAAGGAACCTGACCAATGAGAGACTGAGCAAAGAGGGAGGCCGGTCGGCCGAGCGGACAGCACGCTGGACTTGTGATCCTGTGGTCCTGGGTTCGATCCCAGGCGCCGGCGAGAAACAATGGGCAGAGTTTCTTTCACCCTATGCTCCTGTTACCTAGCAGTAAAATAGGTACCTGGGTGTTAGTCAGCTGTCACGGGCTGCTTCCTGGGGGTGGAGGCCTGGTCGAGGACCGGGCCGCGGGGACACTAAGCCCCGAAATCATCTCAAGAATCTCAAGAGAGACGTGATTGTACATGAACTGAGGCGGCAGCTGCTGGAATTACAATAGATGAAGGCATTTTTTTGGAGCGAAGTCTCACGATGGAGAATGAAAAAGGCATCAAAGGTGCTACACTTACCCTTTTTTCATTGCTCTTTAACTCTACAATGAAATCAAATAGATTTCCAGGGATGAGGAAAACAGCTAGTTTGATCCACGTGTAAATGAATGACAGCCATGTTACGACGATGAAACAATATGAGAGATGGGTGGACTCTGGAATTATTAAATGGGACAAAAATGCAATATTTTAAATGTGAAAGAGACGGACTATGAGACACTGGAAGCAGCTAGAGGGACAGATAAGCCGGAGGTGAGTCAGGAAGTAATTATCTTGTGCACGTCTCAAGAAAGTGGAATGGTCTTCAAGAGCAGATAGACGAGACGAAATCAATATGTAGTTTATAGGATTTTTATCGATAAACGTGAGTTGTGAAAGTCATTGCATTGACCGACCAGCGTTCGGAAAGCGGGACTTGGGAGCTAAGGGTACGTTCTATAGGTGCATCTAGGTAGGCACATAGTTGAGAAGAGACACTCATACACAAATGTACACACAATACGGTTCGCTCAAAAATATTCACACAAACGCATCATTTAACTCACAAAACTCAACATCATTAAAACTTGAATCATTAAACTCAACAGGTAGGTATTCAACCTACCTGTTGAATACCTGTAGTTAGTTCAGGGAATTAACGTCTCCCCGGCCCAGTCTCTGACTGGGTCACTTGGTTGGTGGTCTAATCAATCAGGCTGGTCAATCAGACTAATCAATCAGGCTGACCAAATTCTCTTTTGAACACCGTGAGAGGTCGACCAGATATGCCTCTTTTGTATAAAGGGAATGTGGAGAAGTTTTTGAGTTCTTGATGTTGATAGCTTTCTCTCTCAGTGTACCTATTGCACCTCTGTTTGTGAACGGGGGTTATTTTGCACATCCTGCCATGCATCCTGGTTTGATGGGGAGGTATTTCCGTGTTCAGATTTAGGACCAGTACGCAAGCTATAAGCGTTGCTTAACAAAATGTTTTATGCGAATGATTATTCTCAGTCTTCAATGCAATGTAATGCACCTAATGGCTATCTTGTGGCACCCACTGCTTTCTGCATTCCAATGGCACCCACTGCTGTCTGCATTCTAGTGGTACAGTAATATGATTAATATTCAGTATCTGTGTGCGCATCTGACATGAGTAGTATTTACTCTGGCGAAACAAATTACTCACACACTGATACCCCCTAATACAAAAATAATGCTCATTTACTATCTTACAAAAATTATAGTCAAGATTGGAATGCAAAATTGTTAACATACCAAAAAAAACCTCAATAAAGTTTCCTGATATGACTTAAAACAGTGCAGGTATATAGTGATTAATTAAAGTTGTAGAATACCGGTGTTACCTGAGCCGCCCTTGAGGATCAAGAGGGACCAGTGAACACAGCATCCTCAAACTCTTTCCACCAGGATCTGAGGCCTGAACGCAGCAACAGGATGGACTCCATCAGCGCCGAGAAACTCCACATGACCGACCTGGATAACGTGGACCACTTTAGCGTATCACCGAGGTTCAACCCCAGAAGACACGTCACCCCCAATAATGATCCAACGCCCACAGCGACCCTCACAGCAACACAAACCTCAGGTGGATAACATGCTCCTTTTGTGCATTTCATGTGTAGCTTTTTAGGATATCTGTATGATGTGTGTATGAGGTAGTGTGTGGGAATGATGAAATTATAACATTTCTAGAGAAATAGAGAGAGGAGAAGGAGAGGCTTCAGATCAGTTGAGAAAGGGAGGGGGGAGAAATAGAGAGAGAGAGAGAGAGAGAGAGAGAGAGAGAGAGAGAGAGAGAGAGAGAGAGAGAGAGAGAGAGAGAGAGAGAGAGAGAGAGAGAGAGGGTGATAAGAGAGAAACAGAGGCAGAGGAAGGGTGAGGGAGAGAGAGACTGTGTGTGTGAGACAGAGAGAGATAAAGAGAGAAAGGGAAACAGAGCAGCTGAGAGAAGAAGTGTGTGTGGGAGAGAGAGAGAGAGAGAGAGAGAGAGAGAGAGAGAGAGAGAGAGAGAGAGAGAGAGAGAGAGAGAGAGAGAGAGAGAGAGAGAGAGAGAGAAATGTCTACTACGCAAAAACTCAAACCCCATCAGATAGTTCAGAAAAAGAGGCTTTGCAGTATAAGTATTTAATAAAAAGTATTTGATAAAAATATCTCTAAACATAACAAAAAAATCTCTCATTCAAAATTGTTTTTTCAGATTAAATAAATTATTCAGATTTTCCATGAGTGGAGAAAAACTTGTGTCATACTCTGTATCATTGCAGCATCACTCAACACGGTCATACTTTGCATCATGCAAAGCGACTTAGCTGCAACTCGTGTAAACAGGAGGAGACCAAACAAATCAACGCTACAGTGTAATATTTTCTTGCTTGCAGACTTCGAGAGTCAGTTCATGCGAGTACTCAACAAGGTGTACCACACCATAGAGAAGAATGAAATGAGACTCGGGGAGCAGGATAGGAAAGAAGCCACGCGTGTCGAATGGCAGCAGGTGAGTGTAGCGACAACCAGTAGGTGTAGCTGCTATAATTAAGTGTAGCGGCCACCAGTCAGTTAAGGGAGGGTTAATCAGTTGGTGAAGCGGGAACCAGTAAGTTCAGTGGGAAACCGGTAGGTGTTCAGCAGTCTAAATGTGTAGCAGTAATCTGCAGGAGGCGTAGCAGGAGTTCTCAGGAACAGCAGAAACCCATAGGTATGGCTGTGAGTAAAGCAGGAGGTGAGTCTAGCAGCAGTCTATAGCTGTAGCAGCTGTAGGGGACTCAGAGATTGAAGTGGATGGAGGCAGGTGTAGTGATTAGAGGCAGGTGTGGTGATTACTGACAAGTGAATTAGTTTGAAATCTATCATCGCAAACTCCCGTGTAGATATTGCTGAAAATTATTGAATACTAACTTTCGTGTCACTTGGAATGTTATTTTTTCATAAGTATTAAAGGGCCACTAGTAAAGTGCCACCAGTGCCACTCTTCGTAAAGAGCCTTTACGAAAGATCAGCAGCAGAATGACTTCGGAAATGACATTCTCGATCACAAAGTAACAGTTGATGGTAAAAATATAAAACAATACCGTCAATGGTTGTGAGATTGTTAAGAATTGTTACAATCATTGAAAGTAGTAACACCTGTCTCTAGTTACTTGGGCTAATCTTACGTACGTGAGATATTCCTCTCACCTCTCTCCCCTTTCTTCTCACCTCTCTCTTCTCCTGCCTCTCACCTATCCTCCTTGCCTCTTAGCTCTCTCCCTCTTTCTCTTGTCTTTCAGCGTAATATAAAAATCCAGGAAGGAGTTAACACTGTAAAGAAAAATCATAATGGTTTCTCGACGCTTCTGAAGGTCACAGATGATGAGAAGTATATGTTCTCGAGAAACAAGATTTAATACATTAACACATATTCCTCCCATAAATAAATGTATTTTATGATACAGTTGTATTAATACAAGATTATTCCCTTCCTTCGTTTCCTCCTGATCTCTCACACTACACACTTGGTCTCTCGCTCCACACACCAGGTTCATCATTCCACACACCTGGCAATTCACACCATCACACACATGATCCGGCACACCATAGACCTAACCCCTAGCTCCTCACACCTCATACCTCACACCTCACACCCCGTCCCTCACACAGTAAACTTGATCCTCCCTCCCCCCCTCACACTGTCACACACCTGGTCCCCTCACACTGTCACACACCTGGTCCCCTCACACTGTCACACACCTGGTCCCCTCACACACAATACACCATGTTTCATCAACCACACACACAACCCTGGTCACTTACACCATACATCACACATCCCACACCTGTTATCTGAACACCTCAAACAATACAATATGTGCAGATATTCCATTTCCCGTTAAGCGAGTGATTCGTACTCGGACTGCATGCAATATTACTTCTCCCCTGAGCTCAATACACCGCAGAGCGTGATGAGTAATTTGGCATCCGATATATTGCAAGTTAATTTTCGGCTCACTTTCCTGCCTATTATACCCTCACGGATTATGGGTTGCCCCTCGAGAGACGCAAAAATGGGAGAAAAATATATATTGTGTTTTATGAATTAATCAAAACCACGAGCTGTTGCTTGCGGACATCATTGAGTTATAAATTGTTGTGACATGAAAATTAACAACTAACTCCCCCAAACTGAACCAGATTCAATGAATTCCTTGATAAGTTTGTTTGGTTATTGCATGTTGTTGGCTCACTAGACCCATAGCGTTGGGGGACTCATTATACCCATAGTGCTTGGAGCTCTATCAAACTATCAGGAACAGCCAAAAGGGAAGTTCGTAGAGTTAATGACTTCTGGTTAACCAAGAACTTTGTTGAAGAAAGAAAGCTTTTTGAAACATTTGCCTAGTTCATCAAAAAGGTTTACTAAATAGGGAAGAGCAGCTATTGTAGGAGAGTTACTGACTAGTGAGAGAGTGACTCATGCAGAAGAGTTATTGACTAGCAGGAGAGTGGCTCTTATAGAGAAGAATTACTGATTAGTAGAGAGTGGCTCTTATCAAACCCATAGAGTTACTACCCTGCAGGAGAGCAGCTCATGTGGAACAGTTACTGACTGGTGGAAGAGTGGTTCGAGAAGAGTTACTGACTAGAGGGACATTGGCTCTTTTAGAAGACTTACTGATTAGTGGAAAAATTGCTCTTGAACATGAGTTCCTAATTAGATGATGATTGGCTCAAGAATAATTACTAGCTGGGGAAAGGAGTAGGATTCTGCTGAATAGGATGAGGATGATTCGAAACTATGAGCTGTGAAGTCCCAGACACGCACTAGACCACTGTAACTCGACATGCAACCTGAGATTAGGCTTCAGGGGAAGCCTCAGGAACCCTAGAGGATTCAGGTGAATCCCAGGTTGCAATGTTTTTGACCATGTCATGGTTTAGTGGTTCAGAACGTGCGTGGAAGTACCCAGCTCATAGGTTCGAATCATTCTTATGGCTCCCACTGATTTTCTCATTGATACATTACGTTAATGTGATTTCTTAGTGTAATTACTGACTAATGGGAACGTAACTAACATACAAGAATGACTGAGCAGTGAGATAGTAGTTCTTGTAAACGAGCTGCTAACTTGTGGGAAAGTAACTAATTTACGGTTCCCTAAACTGGGTTAAAATTTCACTATAGAGGAAAGGCATCTAAAATTATTATATATATGGAAAATAATTAATTGAGAGCCGCATCTTGTGATTTAAATATGAAAGAAAATGAGAGTAGAGTAAATAGTGAAATATGAAACAGAATTAAAATACTGTCGTTTGGTAATTAGAACATGCAATTAGTCAGTGGTTTTCCCGTCTCTTGTGCAGGTGGCGCTGGTGTTCGACCGTGTCCTGCTCGCCTGCTTCCTGCTCTCTACTGTCATCGCTACCACCACCATCCTCTTCTCGTCGCCACACGGACCTTGACGTCACCTCAGCGCCCTCTTCAGCCGGAGTAGCGAGACACCTGTCCCTTCACACAAGGACTAGCGGTTCGCGATAATGCCCAAAGGATGTGTTTACTGTACTGAGAGATTATCTGTTACTTCCTTTGTTCATGTTTGGTTTCAGCGTGTCGCAGCGGGTTCATGCAACACGCTACTGGGGCTCCAGCAACGAGCTGGAGATATTGAAGCAAGTCATGCAACTTGTAATCCGTTGTAGCAGTGGACTGGCCCAAGGAGGTGTGTTTATCTGTCCTCTCCTGACTGTGCTTCCACGAGTGAAGATAAATGTTCCTCGACGACGGCCTCCACAGAAGTGTGGATCGTGGGTTGTTTGGCAGTGATTAAAGGCGCAACTTGAAGTCGTGATCTCTTACTTGGAATACAAGTTTAGCGTACATGAAAGCCCTTTCATACACTATCACTGCTTCATATAAGTTCACCCCCCCGCCCTCCATACAACCTTTTTCCTTTCCAAACCCTGGTTTCATATACCTTGGCCCCTAGGTATACTTTGGCCCTTTCATACACACTGGCTTCCTTTTTTATACACTGGCCCTCTACATACACCTTGGCCCGTTTTATACTCCTTGGCCCTTCCATGGACTCTGACCACATATATTTAACAAAGCCATTTCCCATATGTACGAGAACCTAACAACGGAACATGATGAGTGGAAAGTTGTTGATCACCATAACCCATTATATTATTACAACTAATGATATATCTCTCCATTTTACCCCTCTTACAGCTGCGAGATGTTCACCGTTATAACGATGAAATCATGTGATATATTGACATACTGAAGACCATGAGACAATAATTAATTACAGAAAATGTTGAAATATGCATTGTATGTACGCATGAAAGATTCTCGATAGCATACTAGCGTTTCCTGCACCGTTAACTGAACGAGCTTGCTGCTCGAAGTTACAGTGAATAAATATACCCTTGAGTGTGTTATATTTATACAGCAATCAACTCATCAACTCATTTTGTTGATGATTTAAATTTCTTAAACTTCGTGACTGAGAATATGTTATCAGATTGTTTGAAGAGAATTTGAAAATAATGACATTTATATAAGACAAATTGGCTCTTACGAAGGAGCTCCAATATATCTGAAGTATAGAAGATATTACTTCAAATTTTCTTATAAGTTAGCGTTCATGTTAATATAATTTGTATTAATTTTTACCAATTAATTTTTCCCATAATTCTCACACTTTATTTCCTAATCATAATATATCATTATTTTTAAATATCTGCATTTCTTTAATGTGACTTTATTACTTTATGTTCAAGAGTTGGTTACTATATTACTTTGTGTTCAACATTACTAATATTTCGTAAACCATTTAACCTACCCAGATTAGCCCGTATCCCAGACCATTTCCCTTCATATTTGAATTAGGCAAGCCGCTAACGTCTGATCTGCAACGTTGGAAGAACAGACATCTATACCATAAGAAAGAATGACTGTCTGTAAACAGGTGGAATACACACATATAAGCAATTGTTTAAGCCCCTCTCACTTCTCCGTTACCATCGTTAGGTAAGCACTGTTAAGGAAGAACGGAGGAACAAATGCTCAGTTTGCAAACATACAAACAATCATTCATCACTCAGCAGGGAGCAGCACCCACATGCTTCAGCAGACATATAATCCTCTCTCATCTCCACACAGTTAGGCAGAGGAAATAAAGGAATGTTCAGGGGAGCCGGTCGGCCGAGCGGACAGCACACTGGACTTGTGATCCTGTGGTCCTGGGTTCGATCCCAGGCGCCGGCGAGAAACAATGGACAGAGTTTCTTTCACCCTATGCCCCTGTTACCTAGCAGTAAAATAGGTACCTGGGTGTTAGTCAGCTGTCACGGGCTGCTTCCTGGGGGTGGAGGCCTGGTCGAGGACCGGGCCGCGGGGACACTAAAAAGCCCCGAAATCATCTCAAGATAACCTCAAGAAGAAGCACACGGTATCCAAATACAAAAACAAAAAAAAATACCTGACTAGATAACCCGTCGCCATTAAACCCACAATATATGATATCTCGAATACAATATAAGAAATCTGAAGCACAGTATAAATGCTCCTGATCACCTTATAAAATATATGACCACAATAACCTAAAATTCTCAGCAAAAGCGCAAGTACGTCTCTGATTACACTGATTTAATATAATGGTCCACGACCGTATCAGCTTAATTCTCAGCGCGAATATCCCGGGCGCCGTTTGAAGTATTGAACAGCGTAATTTTTTGGATGAGCGATCATTAGGGAATCGTAGAACGAGTCGTCCGGGGGTAAAACTGCAAGCTCGACTAATTAGTGATATCTAAGATTTTTCATTTGTTCTGTCGCTGGGTGCGGAAACTGTTGAATTCTGGGCAAGTTCAGGCGAGGAAATGCTTATATGAGAGGGGGGGGAATGCTAATTGTTTCCATGGTGTTGTGTTAGAAAAATATGAGAATTCCTGAATAGGAAAATAAAAAAACAATGGCAATACTTGAATATTCGTTGGTTCTTAATTATTTTACACAATTCTTCTTGTCTTCCATTCATTCTGTCAGTCTCTGAGACAATATATATATATATATATATATACATTCATACATACATACACATATATATATATATATTTTAAAACCTTTATATATTGCTAGGTTTTTCCGTATTAGGTAGATGGGGAATTTTCAGTCCGTTTTCATGCCGTTTCTATTTCTGACTTAATCAAAATCTCTTGGATGTGTTGGGTTACTCGCTGTGTTTCACGAAGCATTTTAATTTAGGCCTACTCCAACCAGCCTATATTTGTCCCATACCCCAGACCAGTCCCTCTACAAATTTGGGTGAAGCTAACCCGAAGCATCTGGACTGCAACTTTGGACAGAGAGAGAGAGAGAGAGAGAGAGAGAGAGAGAGAGAGAGAGAGAGAGAGAGAGAGAGAGAGACATTCTCTCATATATATATATATATATATATATATATATATATATATATATATATATATATATATATATATATATATATATACACACACTAGGAGAGTACCCAGCATTAATAAGATGCAAAAATAGATTATGTGTGGTGTTAAGGAATATACCACGAAGATACATAACCCCTAGAGAATGGGGGTTGACATGTCGGTGGTTCGATATTTAAGCATTGACAGAAGTGACTCTATATCGCATGGAGGAGCACTCAGGATGTGCATCAAGCTTAACTATAACATTGGGCGTTAGTTTGAGTCTCGTTAATATTACGTACACGAGATCTCATGTATGACCGTGATTGATATACTCACGTTCAACGAGAGGAACGTTGAACGTGAGTATATGGGCCACTGTTCTTGGAGCCCTTAACTACTGTGTCTCAGTCCCTCACGGCCTATTGAGGAGAAAAGCCCTGCTGCTGTTTCTCCACTCAAAGAGTTCCTGATAACTCCCTCATAATTGAATTGATCCTTGTGAGCAAAAGATAATTATTAACTTTTCATTCGGAACAAACCATTTAACGAAGGCTTTCTCGTGATGCTGAGGATTCCTACATTAATGGCTCTCCAGCTACATACTAATGGAGTTTAACTTGTGTTCAGGCCAGTCTGTATAACCCATTTCTTCAGTGTAAGTTACACATCCTTAGCCTCCATGTCCAGTGTTTGGGTGTCTCGTTCACCCATTAATCTTGTGTTATAATGCTGTGGAATAAATGTGTATATTGAATTGATATGTAGAATTTATATATATATATATATATATATATATATATATATATATATATATATATATATATATATATAGGGTTATATCCCTAGCACCGTTACTAATGTTGTCATTCTAGGCATGAGCCTTAAACCATCAAACTCATTGTAAATACCATAATTCTTACCCATGAAAATTTATTAAATGTATGTCTGATTATGCCTAGTTTGTTTACCTACCTAACTCCATCATGCCAAAAGGGCACCCACAGGGAACGCCTAAAGTTCCAGTTATACCCGTAACTTAAAAAATGCTAAAATGTCTTCAGAGAAAATGGAAACAAAAATTGGTGCCTTCTCCAAGCTGGGGATCTCGTCAAGGACTGAAGGGAACGAGCACTGGTAAGCCCTGGTAGGAAAGAGGAATGGAGGAAATAAAATAAGAGATAGAGGTGCCAATTTATTGGAACCGGCGAAACTGATTAAACACCGACAAAAGTAATAATATGAACTACAAAAAGAATCTAAACTAACAAAACGTTATGTCTCAATTAACGCAACGTGTCCTCATGCAATAATACAGCAAGATAATAAGACCAAACCTCCTATGAAACAATTTGAACCCAAAAACAAAACAAAATAAGAAATAAACAGCACTAACAGGATATCCCAAAAATGGAGCGGGGGAAGCAAAAATGACATATGCAAGACAATATATTACACTATTATCCAACATGCAATTCTTGCATGCAGTTCCATGGAATCGAATCAAAGATGTTGGGTAACAACAATTTCAGGATTCTAGATTTCCGGAACTCGAGTAGACTGGTAGAGTTGTGTTAAAGATGAGAACCGCACATTAGGGACTTGGGGAGTGTGGTCAGAAATGAAAACCACTCAACGGTTCAAATTATATATCAGAAATTAAGCAATATGCAAAATAATTACTTGGCCTCATTGTTTACCAGTGGAGACCTAGCCAACTCTCCCAACTTAGAACAATATTCAGGGATTCCAGCAAATATGCATTGTGCAGCATTCAAGTTAGCAAAGTTTGTATATTACGTGAAACCAAAGATAAATGGTATTTGCAATTTACCAAAATCAGGAACAAATTTGCTAGGTACCATGTTAACAAATGCCACATTTGTTGCTGTAGTATATTTGTTAAGACTTTTCAGTGGCGTATTGAGATGCAAGGTAACATGAATAGCACTCATTCTCCACTATGAGTTATCGTTCATCCCACACGTGTAACAATCATTCTTCTCACCCACCATCCAACTTCATCAGTAATTTAGCCTTTCAGAGTATCCCTGCAATAAAATACTCTCTATATGTTTAATGTTCAGAATTCGAATTTGCCGACGAATCTTTACAGAAAATTCCAGTTGGCATATCTGTAATACTATTAAATAGAAAATACATTATGATATCATGAAATAAAATGAATGTTGTATCATACTCGCCCCTTGGCTTAAAGTTTGTATTGATTATGTCTGGCATCTAAAGAACAGTAACTTGAAGTATATACAAGCATGAGACCACTAACCCGTCGAGATAAAGCCGTCTAGGAGCGCTCTTTTGTGTCCAGATCTGAAATTGCGTCCAGCTAAGTTAGATGTTTATGCTCTCCTTCAGAAAGCAGCGGAGTAAACAGCCAATCCACAGCTGAAACTGACATAAACAACATGTCCTGTTTCACTGAGGAGATATCGGGAATGTACTGAGGGTCAGAGTTAAGAGTTAGATTGATGCAAGCTGCTATGGATGATGATCAGGGCTGGGTCATCATTATTCATTATAATGATGAATATATTCATTATTAATCATCTGTGATTTTGCAGGAAGTTTTTGAACTGCAATGTGCATGAAATCAATCAATAAATACGAAGACGAAAACTACAATAAACTTGATAACATCTTAGGATCAAAACAGATGGATTCAAACAGTGTATTTTTCACTCAAAATAGGCACCTTAACCCATGCCTTGATGCAGAACGCAGGTTCGATCCCATCTTCCTACTCCAAAGATTTTCTCATAGATATATCGCGTTACCGTGATTTCACTGTGCATTAAAAATCTTCATCGGAAGTGTCTGCTAAATTAGATTCATTCAGGACCCACAACGAAACCTACAATCGTCTAGAATATGCAGATGAAGAGTCACAATAACGTGGCTGAAAAAAAATTGACCAAACCACCCACTAGAAGACAACGTATCGGTCCGTTCTGGACCATTAAAACCGACTTGATATTTGTCCAGGACGGACCGAAACGTTGTCATCTAGTATGTGATTTGATCAACGTCTAGAATATGCTCTTTGCTTGTCTCACTTGAGAACTATAGTAATAAGTGCCAATAACTTGCTTTATTATAATACCTTCGGATACAGGCGACCGGATCTTGTTCTCTCTATCGATAGATCTAAGTACTATTAACTTAGAGATTAGATCTAAGTACTAAGATCTCTCTAGCGATAAATCTAAGTACTATTAAATTAAGAGATGCGTCGTTGACGCATCTCTTTCAATATGTTATGAGGACTCAGATCATCGTAAGATTTTGCTGCTTTCGTGAGATCATGCGCGAAGCATTTGTGCAATTGTTAGATAATAATTTATTTGAGTCGGGATGTGCTTCGTTATGCGATAAAGCCATTTTGTTTGTTATAAAAAAATATATTTATCTATAGCGAGGAAATTTTTTTAAAAATATAGCGATTATTATTATGGATTTATATATATTATAAATATAGCAATCTAAAATATTAACATTTTATATAAATATAAAATAAACATTTTATTATAGCGAGCAAAACAGAAGGCAAACAGTGTGTTGACATAAGTTTCATCAGCCTCTAACATGACGTGAAAGACCCAATAAGAGAAGGTCCCCGAAAGATGTTCTGATTGGTTGAAAGCTACAAACTCAACCAATGAGGGAAAGTTCACTCTCATAATACACAAGTACCCACACATACATCTACTTTCCTTCACTTTGCTCGGGATATTTTTCGACTGGAGTTCCGGAAGCTCATCACAAGATGTGATTTAATATTTGTGGAAA